GAGAGAAAGATTTATTACAGTACAGAGTACAGACACATGCAGCCCTTAGGTGACAGCGAGAGAGAGAGAGAGAGAGAGAGAGAGAGAGAGAGAGACAGGTATTACAGTACAGACACAGGCAGCCCTTAGGTGACAGCTAGAGAGAGAAACATAGAGACAGGTATTACAATACAGACACAGACAGACCTTAGGTGACAGCTAGAGAGAAAAACATAGAGACAGGTATTACAATACAGACACAGACAGACCTTAGGTGACAGCTAGAGAGAGAAACATAGAGACATGTATTACAGTACAGACAAATGGGAGAAATGGGAGGAAGGGAGGGTGGGAAAGAGGGATGGGGGAAGGAGGGATTGGAGAGAGAGAAATGAGAGGAAGGGAGTCTGGAAGAGACGGATGAGGGAGGGATTAGAGAGGGAAAATGATGGGAGAGAGGGAGGCTGTGAGGGAGGCTGGGAGGGAGGGATGGGAGAGGGTGGGAGGGATGAATGGTAGGAGAGAGGGATGGGGAGGGAGAAATGTGAGGAAGGGAGGCTGGGAGAGAGGGATGAGGGAGGACAGGATTGCAGAGGGAGAAATGAATGATAGGAGGAAGGGAGTGCTTACACTATAATAACAATGCATGGCTGCAGGTTTGTAAGAATTCACTATAAAAATATTTCACACTGCAGGATAACAGACGCGGTAAGATACATTACTAGCTAACTTAAAGCTAAGATGGCCCTAACGGAATTAAATTAATGCACCACAGCAGTTCCGCAGCTGCTCAAACATACCAAACAGCTTTCAATACACAAGAGGCAGCAGGAAGCTATCATGATAGAAAGAACACTGCTGAATAATTGATCTATCTGCTTGGTTTTATTGACAGGCAGTTGTAGCCAATCTTCATCGTTATAGAACATTCTAATGTAAGTTGTAACAGGTCTAGCGTGCACGCGCTAGTGACAACATCCGAGACAGTGGCACGGAGAATAGAGTTATAGATACGGAATTATTAATTTAGATTGGATTGGTGGACATCTCACCAGATATGCCTCAGCTGCTGTTTCTATAGGTAGCAGAATCTCTGTGCGGTAGTGGCTGGAGATAACCATGTTTCCTAATAATCTGTCAACATCATAGAATCATCATATAACCAATTATCAGATATATATATATTATAATATAATAATATATAATATATATATCATATATTATGAATATAATAATATATCATAAGATACATAACCATCAGCTGCAGGCAACCACACAGACACACCCTGCTATACAGCCAGACTTGCATTAATTACCATGAACACAAAACCAACACGTGTCAATTAAGCATAGTATTGACGTTTCCTTCGAGTGGTAATTACACACTCAAACCACAATCATAGAATGGACCTGTGTCAATAAAGAACACCTTTATGGTTTACATTGCTTGGCTTTATAAGTAGGTTTGATTGTACCCAAGTAAAACACAGAAAATTTTATGAAAAGTCGCAGTCATAAATGTTAATTTTCAACATCTCGCTAGAATATAGGAAAGGCAGCATCAATACATCGTTCCACTTAGCTTTTCATAGAATAGACCACCAAACCAAAACCGCATTAGAAGAAATTAAAAAACAGGGCGCAAAATTAGCACCAGCCCACCGGCATATACCGGCAAATTATTTGGAGGTCGAGTAACATTGGCAAAACACCGGCCCTCCGAACCGGTGGTTTTAGCCGTGTTAGCGAGTACCTACATTTTTATTTATAGCATAAGTGAGCAAATAGCCTACAATACTGTTTTATCTGAAGGATATCACGCCATAATTTGTCAACATTGTACAAATTTGAAACCGAGAATGCGTGAAACATGACATTGACAAAAACAATTTGGACATTATTTACGATCTGCATTATAGTCTGTTCAACAGCTAGCTACTATGCAACGTCGCACACTATAACATTTTTCAGACAAGTAAGAGTCAGTGAAAGCCTTGTCTTTATTTTTGAAAAACAAAACAAAATTTGTGAGGGCTGGTAAATTATGGTGAAGGCACAGGTAAAAAACTGCTCTAGCCAGCACTCTGGGCCGGTGAAAAAAATCTGAATTTCATGCCCTGAAAAATACTTTAAAGGAATAATAGGTCCATTGATTATGCAATGTTGACGAATGCTAGAGTAACTGGCTCCTTGTGTAGTTAATAAGTACATTACCTTATAGCCAAACGCATATTATTTGTCAAATATCACTGCTGGTTACTAAGAAATGTCTAATTGAAATCTGCAGTCCAAAAATCAGTTGTTTACAGTTTCAAACCGTTGCCGGCAAAGCGAGTGTGATACAGATTTATAGTGCACCGGACATTTTCTCACGCATGCTCGGCCGTACGCAATGCTATCATCAGTGATTTCGTAAACATGGACGCTCGTGATAAAGAACTTTTTGTCAGGGCTGTCCAACTCGTGATAAAGAACTTTTTGTCAGGGCTGTCCACGTGCGTCCGTGATTAGTACGTGTGTTTTACTCTATTTCCATGTTTAGTCCGTGGCCGTGGTTACACCGCTGACACCTCCGTTTCATCTGGCATCCAAAACATACGAGCCGCACAAATGTTTACGTCATCGCTTGACTCCTGGACGACATTTACGGCACGTAAATGATACGTTGATACATATCAACAACCGATTTCAAGTCTTTTTTGAAATGTAACCAGCAGTGATATTGGACAAACTAATACGCATTTGGCTATTAGGTAATGTACTTATTAACTACACAAGGTGCCAGTTACTGTAGCATTCGTCAACATTGCATAATGAATGGACCTATTATTCCTTTAATAATAGCGTAATTGTAGATAATGATATGTCGATGTGCATCATCTACCCGTTAGTCGTGGACAGCTTCTGTCCATTACGGATTCTATATGAACACTTCAGGTCGGCTGGCAATGTTGCTCCCATCTTCTCCTCTACTGCTGCCAACTCTGCCTCCGTGGTGCCCTCTGTTGGAGTGAAACAGAAAACTATTGAGCGCATATTTACAAACAATGAGCTATATCGGAAAGTCCAGCTGTGTTATTTAGGTCATAGAAAAATGGGTATAAAATGGCCTTAGGAAAGTACATAATTAATGTAAACACTCATGCATTTTTAGTTTTTGCATTAACACAAACATTGCAATATATACCAAATGACCACAATCATATTTGTAAAGGTTTCTGTAAACAGAAAAGCACCTGTGAATTGAAGTATGACGCTAGTGAAAAGAATTGTAGATCAAAAACCGAAACTAGTACTATTTTAACTATGTTATATATAGGCAACTTATTACCACTCTTAACTGATCTCAATATGGCGGCGGAGACTTTCCGATATGGGTTATATTGACAATATAGATAATGTTACGTGATACAAAGAGGTGAGGAAGAGAGGCAGAGACAGCGAGCGAGAAAGACAGAAAGAGAGCATGCGAGAGAGACACACAGAGAGACAGTATGAATGATGGATAAGAGAGAGGCATAGCGCTAGAGAATCTGGGAGAGATCCTAACTCTATCCAAGTAAAACAAAATTTCGTATATTATCACACCTTTATCCTGACTACACGTTTTCTCACCTTTAAGAGAACCATAAATCATGGGGCATTTCTCCTTCAAGTATTTCTCTATCTGGTTCCAGGAGTGCTTGATGCGTCTGTAACAGTTCACATATTTCCCGAACTCCTTGTACATATTCATGAACTGATGTTTCCATGACGACCCTCCCTCGACGCTGCAACATTAACCATACACGTGCATAAGACATTAGTATCACAGCACAATCTTTTTAATCTATCAATATATATATTTATATATTTAGAAATTACCGTATACTATATATTAGTAGTCGATTGCATATTATAGATGTACTTAAATATTGCACATTTTAATTCATAATATTACAAAATAATAGTAGTACATCACACTTCCACACGTATTCATATATGAATAATGTATATATTAACATTTTGGCTCATTTACATAGTATAGTATTTACGTAGTATAAAATATTAGTGGCAATTTTAGTATATAAAGGAATTTCTCCCAAGGGATTTCAGAAAGGACGTCGGGCAACAATGCAATTTACTCCTGATTACTAAGTAAAATCAAGTACATGTGTCGTAAGCGGGCCCAATACACAGGTAAACTCAATCAGTTCGGAGACGTAAACATCAAGCTGTGAAAACACAGCATGACTGTGTTAGGATTGTCAAAAGTAAACACAGCTGGAAATTAATGCATGTCGGCTATTCAAGTGAAACACACTATCCGTGTGAGTAATATAACCATGTCCGTTAGCTTGGATATTGTTCCTAGGTCGGCTAAGTTAGATGAGTTTATACGTGTTTTTGCGGGTGTACGCTGTGATCTCAACTACACATGCATCATTCAGTTCCCAAGCACCATCCTATTAGAATGTCCTATCTCAATGCTGATTTGCTGCATGAAATGTTCAGTTATCCTCAGGAGACGTGTACCTTTGTGATATACTCATGCATTGCTGTTTATAAAGATAAAATGTTTATATTTATCTAGACCGACCTGTCACAGAGCCAGACACACTTGCATTGTCCACGCCAGAGCAATTCATCGGAGCAAAGTGAGCGAAGACGCTGGCACTGATGGCAGCAGCTGCAACATACATGCGGGAAATTACATGTTGTTCAATAATAATAGGTGAAACTTTTTTTATTAAAGAGCAGATAGTGGCAGCTGTCCGAAAGCAAAATAATGCATCGCAACCAACACTGAATCAACCCAAAGACCTACAACCCCCAGAGCCCGAGGCTGAACAAACACCGCAGCATACGGATACCCATGAAGGTGAATCAGTAGTGGATATGGAAGATCGAATCTCTACTAAGCTGCTTGAAACTCAGGCAATCTCCCTGGATCAACACAGAAGCCTGAAAAAGGTTCATCTCAACAAGGCAATACGGGACAATATTCAAGCTGCAAATCGAGCCCTCACCAATATCATCAAAGATAACCATCTAAACTTATCAGAAATCAATGAATTAATGTACGCGACTGCTGTTGTTATTGCTGGAGAGACAAAAGAGAGAGAGAGTCACAAAGCCCACAACGGAACCAACATGGAAGAAGAGAATCAGAACAAAAATTGAAAACCATCGCAAGGACCTCTCCATCATTAGCGAAAAAAAAGAAGTGTCACAACAAAGCAAGTACATACCAAGGCCAGGAGCATCTTATGCAAGAGCCGAAGGAAGAATAAGACCATATGCGAGCTCAAACAAGAAATAAAGGTGAAGCTACAGGCCAAAGCTCAGAGGTTGAGAAGGTTTACTAAGCAGAGTGAGCACTACTATCAAAATAAGCTCTTCCATAAAGATGCCAAAAAATTCTACCGGCATCTCAACGAGCAGCAAAGCACCATCAAGGAACCTCTCTCTCAAGAGCGACTCGCTTAATTCTGGCGTGGAATACTGGAAGTTGGCACAAACCACAATACCAAAGCCACTTGGATCAAACAAGAGGAGGAAGCATTCCAAAATGTAGCAATGGATGTATGGACTGACATTACAATGTGTGAGGTACAGCAGGCCATCAAGCGGACACACAACTGGAAGTCTCTTGGCCCAGACAAGCTGCACAACTTCTGGATTAAGCATTTAAGTGCCCTCCATAAACAACTAACCAGGGCCTTGTATGACACCATCAAGGATCCAAGTAATAGCCCTAAGTGGTTGACATCAGGAATCACTTTGCTTCTTTCAAAAGGCAAGAATATAAAAGAACCTAAGAACTATCGACCAATCACTTGCCTGCCTACCACCTACAAGATTCTCACTGCTGCAATCAGCAACCGCCTCTACAATCACTTACAGAAGAGCGGCATCCTCACAAATAAGCAGAAAGGCTGTAGACGAGCGTCTAGAGGGTGCAAAGATCAACTTCTCATCAGTAACATGATTGTGATCATGGCAAAAAAAGCTCAAGAGGAACCTAGGAATGGCGTGGATTGATTATAAGAAAGTCTTCGACAGTGTCCCACATTCCTGGATTCTCGCAGCCATGAGAATCTACCGTGTGTCACCAACCATCATTCAGTTCATGGAAACTACAATGAAGAAATTGAAGACTGAAATGCTCCTCTTCACTCAAGGAGGCTGCCTCAGGACAGAAGATATGTCAATCAATAGAGGAACCTTCCAGGGCGACTCGCTCTCTCCCCTGCTATTCTGCTTAGCACTAACACCGCTTACCAACATGCTGAATACAGGGTCTGGGAATTACAGTCGATAAACACAACACCATCAGCCACCTGCTCTACATGGATGACCTTAAACTGTTCACCAAGAACGAATATGAGCTGGAGCAGGCCTTGGTAACAGTCAAGCCATTCAGTGATGACATCAAAATGGAGTTCGTCTTAAAAGATGGTAAGCTAGTAAAAAGTCGAAATATCGAGCTTGATGACAAGACAGCCCTACAAAGTCTGAACCACGAGAACACCTACAAATATCTTGGTGTAGACGAAAGTGATGGTATTCAGCATGCAAAGATGAAGGAGAACATTGCTAAGGAGTACTATCGCCAAGTTCGCCTAGTTCTCAAGTCTGAGCTCTGCTCAAACAACAAGATAACATCGATCAATAGCCTGGCACTCCCGGTCCCCGTGTACAGCTTCGGGGTGATCAACTGGTTGCAATCAGATATCGAAAGGATGGATCGCAAGACAAAAAGCTACTAACCATGCACGGTCTCCATCACCTAAAAGCAGATGTAGAGCGACTGTACATCAAGAGGCAAAATGGTGGTCGTGGTCTCATTGAACTGATGTCTGCATACTACACTGCCATTGCAGGTCTAGGCGACTACATCGAGCTTAAGGAAGACAAATTTACAAAGCTTATCAAAATCCATCAGTCTGGAAAATCAAAGCACGCTCTCTTACGCGAGGCTCTACCTTACACCTAGCTGTACCTCATTTACCTCTACATTTACCTCTGCCACTAAGTCTACCTTTATATTTATCTCTGCTTCTACTTACACAACTATCACTGCCTTCATATTTACCTCTGTCTCTACCTCTACCTTTTACATCAACTATCCCTCTAACTATACCACTATCACTATCACTAACTCTACCAATAGATTTACCTCTACCTTTTACATCAACCATCCCTCTAACTATACCACTATCACTATCACTAACTCTACCAATAGCTTTACCTCTATCTCTACCTCTAGTTCACCAACAACCTCTACAGCTACCTCTAACTTGATGAACACACACCTGATATGAACACACACCTGTGATGAACACACACCTGAGATGAACACACACCTGTGATGAACACACACCTCTGATGAACACACACCTCAGATGAACACACACCTCTGATGAACACACACCTCAGATGAACACACACCTCTGATGAACACACACCTGAGATGAACACACACCTGTGATGAACACATACCTGAGATGAACACACACCTGTGATGAACACACACCTGTGATGAACACACACCTATGATGAACACACACCTATGATGAACACACACCTCAGATGAACACACACCTCTGATGAACACATACCTGAGATAAACACACACCTGTGATAAACACACACCTGTGATGAACACACACCTGTGATGAACACACACCTGTGATGAACACACACTTGCGATGAACACACACCTGTGATGAACACACACCTGATATGAACACACACCTGATATGAACACACCTGTGATGAACACACACCTGCGATAAACACGCCTGTGATAAACACACCTGAGATGAACACACACCTGTGATGAACACGCCTGTTATGAACACACACCTGAGATGAACACACGTGTTATGAACACACACCTGA